CATTTTTATTAAATTATTCAAAATTCTTGTATTCTTAAAAATTCGAGAAAAAGAAAATGCATTTCACAGAAACCGATATCGTTCAAAATAATTTTTGAATTTGCCACCATTTTTATCGTTCACATTGCTCACAGTCGAATGAGCAATCTTTCGTTCAAATTCTTACAATTTCTTAAAAATTCGAGAAAAATGCATTTCACAGAAACCGATATCGTCCAAAATAATTTTTGAATTTGCCGCCATTTTTATTGTTCACAGTCGAACGAGCAATCTTTCGTTTAAATTCTTGTAATTTCTTAAAAATTCGGGAAAAAGAAAATGCATTTCACAGAAACCGATATCGTCCAAAATAATTTTTGAATTTGCCGCCATTTTTATTGTTCACAATCGAACGAGCAATCTTTCGTTTAAATTTTTGTAACTTCTTAAAAATTCGAGAAAAAGAAAAAAAAGTGTATTCCCACGAACGTGCATTTACAGAAACCGATCCAAAATGATTTTTGAATTATCCGCCATTTTTATTCGCTCACTCGAAAAAAAAAAAAAGAATATAGAAAATTTCCTATATCGTTCGAAAATATCGAGAAACTCGATACGATAGAAAATTTTGCACGATTATTTCCTTGAGAAATCAACTTTACCCCTATTTCTCGATCGTGTCAACTTGTCTTCTCGATCGTAATCATCGTACACAGTCCCAAAACCGCGTTATTGCACAGCACGTTCGATCGAATTTTTTGGTTAGTCCGTCGTATCTCCCGATACTCGTAATCCGAGACATTTCTCGGCGGTTCGAATTGAAATTCTACTCGAGCGCGAATCGATCTTTGCCCAATACTAGATGTTCTTTGTAGGAGAGCGTGTCTCCCCTCCCTTCTCTCCCTGCATTTCCAGTTACTACAACTTAGGTACTCGCCACTCGACTTGGAACATTTTGGAACAAACGTTCCGATATTTCTTCACCCTCCCCCCAGAAATAACATCATCAACCCTCTTTGACCGATCTCCCCCGAAGTTTATGTAACGTATCCTTCTAATCATTCTTCCGTATTCAATGTAAATACGTAAAACGATCGTTTACTCGTCAACCATTAATTGGTTGACTTTCTTCGTTTGTAAAAGAGAACTGAGAGTCGCTACCTCTCAAATTGGAGAGATCGTCCGATAGAGACGCTGTTAAAACGGCATCGATGCGTTCTTACACGAATAACGTTAATTAATTCTACACGCCATTTACACGAACTTTCATTGTTTTAACGTTTTATAATTTTGCCACGAAGTTTGAACAAATTTGGAAAACGATCTTTGCAATCAGTTTCAATTATCAATTACAAGAGCAATTTCCTCGAGTAAGTCATTTCAGTTTGAGAAAAAGATTAACAAGAAATCAAAGAAACTCGAGAGAAACGAGTTTGCGTATGGTCGTACGAAAGCTTTCATAAATAATCACGCGTACAGAATGAAATCTTTTCGTTCCATCAGAGACATTGTTCTCACTTCTTATTATTAATCCTTATTCACCAGGACGTATTCATTGTTTCTCACAACTTCCCTCCCTTTGCTTTCCATTTAATTAACCGGCTGACGATTGACGCACAGAGAAGACGCCTTAAGAGAAACGAATATTTTCTTTGCCACGCGGGCAAATTTACAATTTTTCTTGGATAATTTCTCAGTGATTAGTGACGATGTCGCATCGGCACTTCTCACCTTGATCGCGATCGTGTTATTCCCGCTTAGTCAGCCACTTTGTCAATCTTGTGTCCAATTCCCTTATCTATCCGCTTGTCTATCTATTATCTATCCTCATGGATCATCCTCTGTGATCGTTAAGTCGCTCTTACGTGCAAGCCTGTCTGCCCGGGAGAATCGGAAAAAAGGAAAGCGGGTAGAGTTGGCAGAGAGAGTATCGATCTCTTCTCCCCTGGATAATTTATCGTTGCTGAGTTTTACGGGCCCCCTCTCCCCCTCCCGCCCTCCCTCCTTCTGCTCTGTTGCCAGAGCTAGGACAACGGAGAATCAATCCTGTCCGTCTTTTTTAAATAGCAATGGCCCATCACTGTCCCGAACTTCTCCTAGTTCGTGACATTGACTTAAAAAAGGAAAAGGAAAACTCGGGTATTTCGCACAATTTCTCTTCCAAATTAAATTTTACACTCGATGATCGCGAATTCGCGATGAGCTTTCTGTTG